AAAGTTTTTTTGTTTTAGTATATTTTTATTGATCTCAGAGAGGAAGAGAGAGGGAGAGGTAGAAACATCAATGATGGTTGTGGGATTCTTAGGATATAGTCCAGTGATGGCGAACCTATGACAAGCGTGTCAGAGGTGACACGCGAACCGAACTCATTTTTTTGGTCGATTCTTCTTTGTTAAATGGCATTTAAATATATAAAATAAATATCAAATATATGAGTCTTTGTTTTACTGTGGTTGCAAAGATCAAAAAATGTCTATATGTGACACGGCACCAGAGTTACGTTAGGGTTTTTCAAATGCTGACACGCCGAGCTCAGAAGGTTCGCCATCACTGCTCTAGGAGCTGCACGTGTAACTGGTTGCAGCCAGCAGGGCGGCTCTCTCAGCCCGTGATGCTGTCTCACGGGGAGGCCGTGTCCTCGGGCCCTTCCGCGTCCAGGCAATGGCTGACAGGTGACCGTTCCGTCCGAAGGCCCTCAGCAGGCATGGCCCGTGGACGGGAAACGCGGCCTTCCTACCCGCTGACACTGGGCGTGACAGCCAGCAGCATCTCTGAGGCTGTTGCCAAAGGAAAAGGCAAATGAAGAGCCGTTTAGGGAACTCGCTGGCCCTCCGGGACGGCGGGCACTTGCAGGCGCGGTTTGAGCCGAGGTTCTGGGCGGGTCTCCTATCAGCCTGGCCGCTCCATGGGAGAGACCCTTCCCTGCCGCCGCTCGGTTCCAGCCGCTGCGCGTTCACAGCGGCTTGTCTGTCGTCTCCAGAGGCTGGCCTGGCAGTCACGTGGGGTATTGGGGTGCGGGGAGGGGTGTCCCTGCAGACACCTGTTTTGGGGAGCATCAGCTGTCCGCCCACTGGGCTCCCTCTTGTCACTGCGGCTGCCTGTGCCCCGTAAAAACGCACAGCCTGTCTCTTCGCCTGGTGGGCCATCGAGAGAAATAGAACAGTGAGGTCTCGGTAGAGAGGAGCTGAGGTGGTCGGAACTCGGCCACGGGCCGAAGAGACTGAGAGGAGAGACGTGTGCAGGGTGTGGGTGCCGGGGCGCCTGGGGGAGCAGGCGGAGTTTGGACAGGCTGAGGCAGGAAGCTGTGGGGAGAGGTGGGTGGGGAAGGGTGACCACTCATGAATGAATGGGTGCCCCCCCGTGTGTCGTCCAGTGGGTCTCCACCGCCTTGCAGCAAAGGACACCAGGAGGTTTAGTGACGGCTGGGGGTTACACAGCCCTTGGGTCAGCCCCAGGCTGCGCCCCTTCCCACCTCTCAGACCCTGGATTCCGATCAGCATGGGGGCGGCTGAGGCTTGTGCCCATACACAGAGGCTCCAAGCACAGGACTGCCTGGTGCCCAGGGACTTCCCCTGCGGTGGGCAGGCCGGACGTCTGACCCCCCGTCCTGTCCTCCAGTTCGAAGGGCAGGAGATCTCGCTGGACTCACGCATGGGCATCTTCATCACCATGAACCCCGGCTACGCGGGCCGCACGGAGCTGCCCGAGTCGGTGAAGGCGCTCTTCAGGCCGGTGGTGGTGATCGTGCCCGACCTGCAGCAGATCTGTGAGATCATGCTCTTCTCCGAGGGCTTCCTCTGGGCCAAGGTGAGCGCGCGCGCGCGCGCACACACACACACACACACACACACCCCGCGCGTGAGGTGGGTGAGGGAGAGAGACACAGCAGTTGTGAGAGTCGTCAATTGGCTGCCTCGTGCACCCCAACTGGGACGGAGCCCACAACCCGGGCAACCTCCTGGTTCATAAGTCGGCGCTCAGCTCCGAGCCACGCCGCCCGGGCAAGGCTGGCGTCCTTTTGAGCCAGCCCCTAACGTGTCGCAGTGGAGGGCAAAGGACCCTCTAGTGTCCTGCACAGGCGGCTGAGCCTGCGGACCAGCTTTCATGTGGACACTTGTGGGTCCCTTCTTTCCTTCATTTCTCACCGTCTTCGCTCCCGCAGACTCTGGCCAAGAAGATGACGGTTCTGTATAAGCTGGCGCGGGAGCAGCTCTCCAAGCAGCATCACTACGACTTCGGGCTCCGAGCCCTGAAGTCGGTGCTGGTCATGGCGGGCGAGCTGAAGAGAGGCTCCTCGGAGCTGAAAGAGGTGGGGCCGCCTGAGTGCCCAGTGCCGGGCAGCGACGCGCCCGCGCGGCTCAGTTTCGGTCTTAGCGGCCTTGATGTGGTCTGTCTGCTTCTAACTGGCCTGGTCGCTGTAAGGGCAAGTGCAGGGTC